TCAGTCAGAAAAGACGCACCCACACCCTGAACTTGGTACCTTGCATCTCCCCATAGAAAGCAACTCCAAACCCCTGTTCGCCATGTGAAGGATTGTCATTGCTAGTGAATTCTTTTTCAGGAATGCTATGCCCAAAGAAGACACTCCCTTGCCATGTTGGGCATTGGTCCCACCCCAGCCCCCATGATGAAGACAGGAAGCTGCTGTAGACAGATGATTCCGGGCATGATCCAGATCCCCACTCCCTACCCCAGAGTCTGTGCTCCCTCAGTCACTTCTGATCACAGGCATCCTCCCAGGAATCCTGATGGCAAGGGAGAGCATGTGGCAGCCACTCCATCTCAGTGCTCTCAGCCTATGTGACAACTCTAATTCTCCAAGATAAATGATTAAATTTGATTTTTTTTTTACCTTAAAATATAGGCAATCAAAGATCACGGGCTTCCATTTCCTGTGGCTGACCTCATACACTGACATTTATCTTTCCAGACAAAATTTTTTTAGCTAAAAACTTTCTTTCAGCTAGCTAAAAAGGAGGAGAAGCAACATGTTAAATAATATTTGGATAGGGTGGTGGGGGAGGAACTGCCCATAAGCCTGATACCTTAGCTCATCAGCTGGTTTGATTTTTGCCTCCTATTCCCATGTGCAGAACAGTCTTATTGGCTGCCTTATGGTGCATATTTTATTTCATATTCTGCTTTGCTCATGCAGCTAGTGCAATCAGTTCTTTGTCATGTTTATGCACAGTGTTTGTGATCCAGGGAGCATCTTAAAAGCAAAGATGAGTAGATTAAGATGGACAGATCACTTTTTGATGGATTTTTTTAAAAGATTATTTGACAGGTGAAGTTGCAGAGAAAGAGAGAGGACCAGAGAGAGAGAGAGAATTTTTCTACCTGCTGGCTCATTTCCCTAATGGCTATAGTGCTTAGAACTGGGCCAGGCTGAAGACAGGAGCCTATAACTTTATCTGGGTCTCCTGACTCATCCAAAAACATGCCCAAGCCATCTCTGGCTTTCCTAGGCACGTTAGCAGGGTGCTAAAGTGGAAACGGAACAGCCAGAACTTGAACTGGTGCCCATGTGGCTTGCCTGTATCCCAGGTGGTGTCTCAACCCACTAGTACCACAGCACCAGCCCCAACTGTCTTTTAAAATGACTGCAGGCTTGTCTGTATATCCTTTAGGACCCATGGCAGAGCTGTGTACTTGCTGTGTTGCAGCAAGACGGTTTAGGTTGGAGTAGTGGCCAGCTGTCATCTCTGAGAAGCATTGTCCTCCAAGGGATTTCCTTTGAGCGTAATGCCAGAGCTCCACTTGTGACTAGGCAGCTGAAAATGAAAAAAAAAAAAAAGGAAAAATACGATTTTACAATGGTTAGTACTCAAAAGAATATTTCAGAGTGCCTGGCAAGCCCCACAAAGCCACAGATGGCTGTTTCTTCTTTGTGCACACCCAGGGTAGTTAACCCTCTCTGAATTCCTGATGGGCACAGGATGCTCAGATCATGAGTAGAGCAAACAGGTGGCCCTTGAGAGGTGCAAACCACAGCAGTGCTGTGGCTGCAGATGTCCAGTGGCACGGAGGTGAGTTTATGTTTAGACATAGTTCTCTGTGCCTGCTGTTTGCAAGTGGGTCACTCAGAAATGGAACATGCTTACAGTTTCCCTGGAATTAGTGTTGAGGCTTTGCTGAAGAGAGGCGTGAACTTGGAAGACCTCAGCCTGATACTAACATCTCCAAATGCAGCTACTTCTCCAATGGCTGAGCAGATAGGATGGGACCATTTCATGCAGTGAGAATGTGTTTAACATGTATGTGAGAACCTCAGGATGATTAGAAGTATGCTATGGACTTCATATGCTTTTAGATGTTTTAACTTTTAGATGTTTTAAGAAAAATGGTTTACTATCTCTTTGCTATTTCTAAGATTAAAACTTTATCTGATATGTTAATGTTTATCAAAATTCCATGTTCTGAAATTTATTAGGATGTGATTAAATAACTTAGCAGTGTGTTTATACCCTTAACTTTGTAGGTATGTGAAGCTGGAAACTTTGTATTTGATTCACAGGAAAAGCATCCTTTTTTTTTTTTTTTGGAAATTTATTCTGTCCCCAACATCTTGAGTAGTTCATCAAACCCATGATAAATGTTTTTAAAAGAAATTCAAGATAGTTTGCTTGATGGTGTACCACTTTTTTCCCCTAGAACTTCAGTTCCATTGATCTTCCATCTGTTCCTATGAGAACTAGATTGCTTTCACTCTAAAATTCCCTGCCGACCTTTAGGGAGTCTAGAAGTGGGGTTTGGGCTTCGCCAGCTGTGTAAGATATTGTTCAAGAACCACTCTTTTGGGCCAGTGCCTGATGATGCATCCATTTCCAAGTTCACCACTGGGAGCAAGGACAAAAGGCTTGCCCATTTTCATTGTCAGTGGAATTTGATGGAAAAAAAGATAGTTACGGCTCTGCAGTTAATTATTGCATTGATTAAAGAAGGGGTTTCCTCATCTTTCCTTCTAGGTGGTTGCAATTTATATTATGTAACATGCCGTGTGTTAATGTAGTGCCTAATAAACTAGAAAAGAAATGGAAGTGCTGTTGTACAAAAACCAAAGTATCTGTGCAATTGCTGTTAACTATTCTCGTACAACTAGCATTTTTTTTAAAGATTTATTTTTATTATTTTTTCATTGGAAAGGCGGATATACAGAGAGGAGAGACAGAGAGGAAGATCTTCCGTCCGATGATTCACTCCCCAAGTGAGCGCAATGGCCAATGCTATGCCGATCCGAAGCCAGGAGCCTCTTCCGGGTCTCCCATGCGGGTGCAGGTTCCCAAAGCTTTGGGCCGTCCTCGACTGCTTTCCCAGGCCACAGGCAGGGAGCTGGAAGGGAAGCGGGGCTGCCGGGATTAGAACCGGCGCCCATATGGGATCCCGGGGCGTGCAAGGTGAGGACCTTAACCACTGCGCCACCTCGCCGGGCCCACAACTAGCATTTTATTGTACTATTTTTTTTTTTTTTTGGACTAAACAATCCTTTGTACATGGGATGCTATATGTACCTTCTAGAGATTCCAGTGTAATTTAAACTCATAGTGGCTTTCCAGGAACTTCTAGTAATGATTACAATGAAACATGGATTTTTACAAATCTGTAAATGACAGGTTGGGAGTGTGCAGGGGAGAGGTGCCTGCTATGTGCAGGGTGGATTCTGCTAAGACTGGAGGCTTGGTTTTCTGCATAGGAAATTCACACCTGAAGCCCAGCATGAAGTGAGAAAGGACTTCACGGGGACCTTCTCCGTAGCACTCTCCTTTGGCTCCTCCGTACAGAACAGAAGCCCTTGTGCTGAAGTTCTCCCTCCACTTGCCATCTGCTTCAATCTCTTTGTTAGAGCGCTTGTGAAAATATGAGGTGTTTCTTGATGATTTTTCTCAGAGCTTGAGACTGCTGAGTCATTTTTAATGAGAAATTGAAGGACGTTTGCGAGTAGATCCATCCCGACAGAACATCTAAACTGTTTTAAAAGTTCTAGAAGTAGGGGAATCTGGATGGGAGGATGTGGTGGTCATGCCACAAGACGAGGCAGGATCTATTTCTTGCACCTCCTTCGTTTGATCTTCTTAAAGTGACTGGGGAGAACAAGGGATCACAGTGGAAAAATAACAGGTATTTTTTAACTGCTTGGAATACATCACTTCCACCTCATTTTACTGTGCTGTTATTTTCTGTGTTCTTGAGGTTATCTTTGTGTATTCTAGCTGGGTGTCATCATGACAGTAGCTTGAAATCAAACAGGGTGAAAGTATTTGGAGGTTGGTAAGGCATTTTATGGTTGGGATGGTAGCCAGCTGACACTTGCAAAAGCCCGTTCTCCTTTGAGGGTGATAGTGGGGCTGTAGCAGAAGCTACAAAAATCAAGATTTTTTTTTATTCCAAAAAAGACAGTTGTTAAACATCAACCAACACCCCCCCGCTGTGCTGTGGGAGGACAAGATAAACAGAGACTTGCCCAAGACTTTGAATGGGCTTCCTGGAGCCTGTGTCAGATACCCATCTCGGATTACACAGTTCAGAGGTATCCACCCTAGAGGGCACAGGGCACAGAGGTCACGGTAACTGGGGGAGCTTAGCTCCAGGGACTCTCCTCCCTGCAAATGCAGACAGTGCTGGCAAGAATCCAAGAGGATGATTAGTTGATACAGAAATTAAATTCAGCTTCCAGAGAGGTGGTCCTCTGTTTTCTGGAGGCCATCAGAGGTGATGCATGAAGGAATAGAGATTCATTGCTGAGCTTTGTCCCTCATGTGCGGCACTACAGTGGAAAGCTGAATAAGGAGTGAATCACACACACCACCTCCCGGTGGCATGCTGTGGTGTATGTGGGTTGTGTTGGGAGCTTCGGCTGCTCAGCCCTAAGATGATGCCTTGGCTGTATGCCAGGGTCATGAGGAAGAGGCCTAGTAGAATCTGGAACTTCATCCTGATTGGCCCCTGGTGCATGCTCACCACGTGCAGGGTTAGTATTCTGCATTAAGATTGGTGTGCTTTAGCCATGCTCTATTGACCTTAATGTTGATTGGATGGTGAAATGTATATATTGTGAAGTTTGTGCGGAACGAGGGGAGGGAGGAGATGGAGAATAATAAAGAAGCACCACGAAAAGGACACGGTGTGTGTGAGAGTTTTTCTCTGCGGGTCAGGGAGCTCTCCACAGATTGATTGTATGTCTGTCCCCATGAGAATGTTAGTGCCGTGATGACAGGGTACTTGTCTTGTATATGCTGCTTTTCCGCCCGCCAGCCCCCGCTTCACAGAATAGTACCTAGCATACAGAAAGTGCTTAATGAATGTTTTCAAATGAAGGCACCATTGCTGCTATCTCCTGGCATTCTGTGGCACCGACTCCCAGGGAAATTTCCCTCAGGATACCCTGGAGTATCATGTCCAGCTGCTAGACTTTCAGTGACCACCATTTTTCTTCCCTCATAGATGACGGAGGGCCGTCGATGTCAAGTACATCTTCTTGATGACAGGAAACTGGAACTCCTGGTGCAGGTAAGTCCCTTTTGGTTGCCTTTGTAAGTCTTTGCTGGGCCTGCTGCGAGTCGGGCTTTTTGATTGGTTGGAATGGGAGGGGGAGAAGATACACTGTTTTTAGCTTTCTATTAAAATCTGAGAGAGAATGACTGGGACACACCAGGGTGTGTGGTGTGTTTGCTATTTTTATTCATTCTGTTTCTGTGTACACTATGCCTAAGGCATCCAAGGCCAGATGTATATCTAACCTATTGTTAAAAATCTGCAGAAAAGGAAATTCCACAGCTTCCATTGCTATTCTTTCTGCTTGGAAGGAGTTAACTGTAACATAGCCTTACATAACTCTGCTATAAGTAGCTAACACAGAAGTGGTCACCCTTGATCCAAGGGGACAGAAACTGTTCATTCTTTTCAGGTAGGCTTTCACGGTTGTGAAGAAAGAGAACCAGCCTCTATACTCTCTTTCCTCTCTCAAAAAACATCCCTCTTACCCATCTTATGAGTGGACATTGCCATCATAATTGAGAAACACAGGTGATCAACTCGTTTATCCTTAAGCCAAGAACATGCCAACTCAAAAAATTCAGAGAAGTAACGAGAATCAAAGATCATATTCTGGTTCAGGTTGCCCTTGAAAATATGGTTTTACCCAATGCCCTAAAGAATGGTAACATTTCCAAATCCTATATTAAAAGCTCATCATTTCACATCTGTTATTAACTCTAGCTTGTATAAGTACACCTGCCATCTTTTAGATTCCTGAGGTATTGTGTCTCACCCCTCCCTCATCTTGTTTTGCCAGGAAGACAAGCAAATTCTTATCCATGGGTTGAGATCATGGCTATACGCCATTGAAGGTGAAAGTAATATCATTTAATGTGGAGATTTCCAAACTGATACTCATGTTGGCATGGGTATGCTACTTAGATTTGAAAATGTTAAAATTGCTAATTTAAAAGTAATCTTTTTGAAGCTTTATGTATTTACTTGAAAGTCAGAGTTACAAATACAGAGATCTGGACCCAGTGGCGTGGACTAGCAGCTAAAGTCCATGCCTTGAACGTGCCCAGGAACCCATATGGGCACCGGTTCTAATCCCGGCAGCTCCACTTCCCATCCAGCTCCCTGCTTGTGGTCTGGCAAAATCAGTCGAGGACGGCTGAGAGCCTTGGGACTCTGCACCCGTGTGGGAGACCTGGAAGAAGTTCCTGGATCCTGGCTTTGGATCAGCATAGCACCGACCATTGCAGTCAGCTGGGGAGTGAATCATGGGACAGAAGATCTTCCTCTCTGTCTGTCCTCCTCTCTGTATATCTGACTTTCCAATAAAAATTAAATAAATCTTAAAAACAAAACAAAAAAAGAAAGAAATACAGAGATCTTCCATCTGCTGGTCACTATCCAGATGGCTACAAAGCCAGGCCTGAGCCAGGAGCCTGGAGCTTCATTTGGTTCTCTCACATGGGCCATCCTCCACTGGTTTTCCCAAATCATTAGCAGGGAGCTGGATCAAAAGTGGAGTAGCCAGGACTCTAATCAGTGCCCACTATGGGATACCAGCATCGCAGGTGGTAACTTATCTGCTATCCCACAATGTCTTAAGAATTAGTACTCTTTATAGTGTTCAGAATTTTAAAACATTATAAATGTAATATAAGAAATAGAGAAAATTGGGAGGGCTTTTGCACAGTTGCCACTCAGAACACCCACATTCCACTTTGGAGTACATGGTTCATATTCTGGCTGCTCTGCTGCAGATCCAGCTTCTTGCTAATGTGCATCCTCAAAGGCAGCAGGTAATGGCTCATGTAGCTTGAGTCCTTGCCATTTGCATAGGAGCACTGGATGGCTTCAGGCTGATCGAACCCTGGCTCTGTGGCTGGCATTTGGGAAGTGAACCAGCAGATGAAAGACCTCTGTCTCTGCCTTTCTAATATAATAAAAATAGATACAAATTTTTATTATGTGTTTTATGTATGGATTTGCTAAAAACAAAAAGAGAGAGAGAGAGAGAAAATAATACAGGGCCCACAATCATAGTCCACTAATTCAAGTGCTATTCTTGTTTTGGTGGATTTCTTTCCAACATTTTCCATATTTAAATTTTTTTGAATGGTTGTAATCATAGCACATGTTATGATTTTATTTCTCTGCTTACTGTTGCCTTTTACAAGCATTTTCCAAGGAAGTCATCATTGTTAATAGTAACATAAATTTCAGGAATGGACATGTTATTATCATTTAATCATTCACCCATATGAGCACATTTAATGTTTTTATAGTTTTTCCACTATCATAAGGAAAGTTTGTGATTAATGTATGCCTGTGTATAGAGTTCTCCCACCTTTGATTATGTCCTTGTTAGCTCAATTCCTTGTCTTACTGACTTGTGAAATTGAGTTTTGTGGTGTGGACTTGGAGGCATGGGGTGATGAAGGGAATGGCAAGGTGGAACAAAGTCTCCCCCATAGCAGAATCATTGAAAGTTGCACTCATTAAGGGTCAGTGTGTGGAGTTGATAAGTGAGTGGTCGTGGGGTGTTTTTTATGCTCTGTTTAAATCTAAACTTAGCAAGGAGCCACCTTTTGGCACAGGAAGTAGAATCTCACATGGCAGGTACTGTCAGCTGGCCAGCCTACAGTGGGAAGTTATGAATGGAAGCAGTTGAAATGGGCTTGAGTCACAGAGAATATGTTTAATTACTGTTGTGCATGGTTGCTGATGAGAACAGTCATCCTCAACTTTATGAAAGTCAAGAAGACATGGAGTTAAGGTAAAGCAGCAAAGTTGTTGTTCTTTCCAACCCCTTGTTAAACATGCTTCATGCATTGCCTGACTTCCTGGAATATTCTTTCCCAGGCCCTATCTCCTAAACCTGGCTAGGGTTTGCTAACTGGGGGCACATACTCCTGAACCCTCATAAAAGCTTTCCTGCTTTCTGCTCATCTGGGTCCTGTCTGCCCCTGTTAAAATACAGCATGGTAATACCTCATTGTCATTAATTGTTTACATACCTTTCCTGGGGACTTTAACAGTTTGAGGGCTCATTCTTGACCATTGTGTGTCTCCAATGCTTAGTACATAATGTTATTCATAAATATTTGTTAAAAGAAAAAAATGGGTGAACCCTCAGGTGTTTTGTGATTATTTTTCCCCAAGGATTTCTTGCCATTGAACCCATTGCTTGTCAGGGAATTTAATTTAGCAAAAAAAAAAAAAAAAACACATGCAGGTAGCTCTTATGTATCTGTGGATTCTGCACCCATGGCTTCTTCAAGTGAACTGTGGACCAAAATTATTAAGGAAAACTTAGATTTGTATAAAGCAAATACTGACTTTTTTTTTATTCTTGGTCCCTAAACAATGCAAACTTTTAAGGCTTATTTATTTAACTTGAAGGAAAAGGGTGAGGGAAGAGACAGAGATCTTCCATTTGCTGGTTCACTCCCCAAATGGGCTGCAACGGTCTGAGCTGAACTGATCCAAAAAAAAGGATCAGTCCAGGATTCCTCCGGGTCAACATGGATGAAGGGACCCAGGGACTTGAGCCATCCTCTCCTGCTTTCCCAGACCGTAAACAGAGAGCTATATCAGGAAGTGGAGCAGCCAGGATTGGAACTGGTGCCCATACAGATGCCAGCATTGCAGGCTCAGGGTTAATACGCTGCACCACCATACCAACCCCAAAACACTGCAGCTTTATAACCATCTGTATTATGCTAGGTATAATGAGCAATCTAGAGATGATTTAAGGTATATAAGACAATGTTCATAGATTATATGCAGAAGCTTCAACATTTTATGCAAGGGACTTGCTCCTCCCCGTGAGATGGGAGTGATCGTAGAACTAGTCTCCTGAGGATATCAAGGGCACTTTTTGTATAGTCATGATTTGCTTAATGGCTGGGATATGAAACCCGTCGCTAGGCAATTTTGTCATTGTGCCAAGTAACCTTGTACTTTCACAAACTAAGACAGCTATGATATCACTAGGTGATACAACCTTACAAGTCTGTCTGTATATGCAATCTGACATTGACCAAAATAGTATAAATCACATGATCATATGTGAAAGGAAATCTTTAAACTCCATTGCATATTGGGCTTTAGCAAAACTGGGAGGAAAGAAGTGGGGGGTGCCAGTTAAGTATATCACTCTGTCCTTTTAAAAAGTATGATGTACTTATTTATTTTGAAAGGCAGAATTACAGAGAGAGAGAGAAAGAGAGAGAGAGGTATCTTCTATCCATTGGTTTGCTTCCAAAATGGCTCAACAGCCTGGACTGGGCCAGGCTGAAGACAAATTCCAGGAGCTGTCTCTAACATGGGTATCAGGAGCACCAACACTTGGACTATCTTCTGCTGCTTTTCCTGGTCTTCAGCAGGAAGCTGGTTCACTAGTAGCACAGCTATGGGATGCCGGCATCACAGGCTGTGGCTTTACCATCTATGCCACAATGCCAGCCCCAAAATTCTTTCTAAGGGGAAGTTCCACCTCTCACTCACTTGGCCCATACTGAGGTTCTTAATAGCACAAAACACTTTGAACTTGAACTCTTCTTGCTGATATTTTGTATTCACAGAGCAAAAACATGTGAATTCACTTGAACTCCCTCACCCAAGTAAATTAAATGCTTATAGTGTTGTTAATGATGAGATCAGAGTATTTGCAGACTAAGAAGAGCCTTCTCTGATCTTTCAACCTGGAGTTGGGGCAGGGAGGGACAGCAGAAGCATCTGCAATGACCCATAAAGGTTTGTAAGATAATGACAAGCAGGTTTGGAGGAAGTGTTAGTCTCCCACAGAGAAGCAGACAGTATGACCAGCTGAAAAACACTAATAAGCAGGCACAGGGATGGGAGTTTTTAACCACTAACTGTTAGAGAAGATTTCTCAGAGGCTCCGGCTCAGTTCTTGAGAAATAGGACAATGCCCAAATCACGTTGCCTCCCAACAGAAGGATGCTGGAAATGACACCAAAAGCACACATGATCCTATGTGGTGGGGGAAACCTGGT